GACAGAGTGAGACTCCAACTCAAAAAAAAAAAAAAAAATCTTATTTTAGGCTAACTGAATGTTGCTTCGGTTTAGCCTCAGTAGTATTTGGTCCTGAGAGTTGTGAATAACCAGAATCTTTGGGATTCCAATCCATATTACCTGGAAGAACATTTAGGTTACAGAACACTTACAGTCACACACTGCCACTGCTTTAGGCTATGATAGTTGAGAAAATTCTCACATAGGTCATTGAAATTGAATCTTCAGCAAAGTTGGGAAGTAAGCTTTGTTTTTCTTCTTTAGAGTCAACCTAGCTCACCTTTGGTGACCCCTTTACTCCTTTCAGCCACCCCAGTTCCCTTAACCATTATCTCTTGTTTCCCCATTTCCCTTTCATGTAAATGACCTGTCAGCATCCTGTTCTCTCAAGACACTGCTTTCTGATAGGAAAGTAAAAGTGGAATGTGAACTTGAGTATAAATGATTGATAACCATATAACATATGACTCCAGAGAATAGCATATTTGCTGTCCTCAATACCTCAATCCAAAGATATAAATTCCTGGTATTGTTGGATGAGAAGTGAGATAAATGCCTTCAGGGATGTAGGGGGGATTGTTTTGCTTTTCTCTCTTCAAGCAGATCCTGTAGATTCCCATGTTTCTATATGCGCTATCTGCACAATATTCACCTGTGAAGCTTTATAAGCTTGATCTCTCTTAGCACTTTGTTTCAAGGCAAATGAGAGGAATTTCAAGAAGTAGAAATAATGGAAACATAATTATTGCGAATTTCTGGTGTCCCTTGGAATATCAAAGAGGGGCTGAGATAAAGCTAGGACAGATGTGAAGATCACATTGCTGCTGCCTCTATTATAGTGCCCCCCCCAAAAAAACTGGAAAATACCTAAGTTGAGTGAATAAAAAATTAATGATAGAAAAGATTAAAATGTAAAAATTACATATGAAACATACAATATTGAAATGAGACGGGAGATGTGAGCTATTCCTCATCATCTCCGGATTACTTCTGTTTGGAAAATATGCTTAGATTATGTTAAATTGTGTAACAGTTGCTAATGTTTCATCTTAGTATTGAGGCATGGATTTGGTTAGTCTACATACCTGCATCAAGTAGTGTCTTTCTTCCATTGTTTCTGAACTGTTCCTCAGCACGTTTTCAAAAACACAGCTTTCTACATTTTGAAGGTTTGTAATGGTTCACCTTTTCTTTTCCGCTTTTTAAATTCCAAAAGTCATGGGAGAAGAATGGTGTGATATGCAAACTCACAGAAGGAGTGCAGAATAGTTTTCACAGTGTACACAAATGGCAAGCTTCTTACAAAACATGAATGAGGACCGAGAGATTCTGAACTCACAAGAAGGGAAAATAGGGCCAGTCTGCCTGGATAAGTAATTGGAATGGTACAACTTTGGTCAGGAGCAACTCAAGATAGCCTCCCTACTAAAAGATTTCTCTTTCACCAGCTAATTTATTGCCTGGAAATGATTTGCATGAAAATGATTGGCACAAGTGTAACTGCAGAAATGCTTCAGGTTATGATAATTATCTCAGGGGGTGGCTTTCCAAAGTGACAGTTAACTGATAATATCCTCTGAGATCCAGATAATAAAATTGTTTCGGGGGGTCTTTCTTTGGTGAGTCTCTCCCAGAGAAGTAAAAAGAGAGTAAGAGTAACGTCTCACTGACAGGTTGATGCAGGGACATTTAAAAGAGGGAAGAACCGGACCCTTGCATGCCAGACCTCCTTTGGTCCTTAGATTCTGGGTGGGAATTCAAACAATATGGGAACCTTTAAATCAAGACCAGAGCCGGGCTCGGTGGCTCAGCCTGTAATCCCGCGCCTTTGAGAGGTTGAGGTAAGTGGATTGCCTGACCCCGCGGGTTTGAGACCTGCCTGGGCAGCGAGACCTCATCTCTACAATAAATCAAAAAAATCAGCCAGGCATGGTAGTGCTGTAATTCTGGCTACTCAGAAGGCTGAGGCGGAAGGATCGCCGGAGCCCAGCAGGTCGAGGCTGCGGTGGCTGGGAGCGGCCACTGCACTCCAGTCTGGGCGACAGAGTGAGACTCCAACTCAAAAAAAAATAAAAAAAATCAAGACCAGAACATTGCTAGCAATCATTCAAACATCAGAGTTCACAGACTGACTAATTGTGAACATAGATGGTTCTTAGTCTCTCTATGCTTTATAAAAAAGAATCTGCCTGGAGGAGAAGCAGGATAAGGTCAACAGGTTTTCTCAGAACCTCCTTTTTTGTCAGAGGCCTTCACCAGCCAATTTACCTTAATCTGGATCATATCTTCCCGTATTTTGGCATTCTCTTTGGTATTGTAGAGATCATTTAAAATATTGTCAGTGATGCTTGATTATAGTCCTACTTCTATTCCTGTAGTGTCTCCTCCCTTACTCTTCATGTCAATCTTTACCTGAGTGCCTCATGATTCAAATCTACCCCTGTCTCTTCAAGAGGCCTATTCCTTCAATATTCAGAAGATTCCTTCAGATCTCAACATGTGTTAAGAATAAACCACATTATTTAACCTAATTCAAAGCAAGTCCAGTTTAATATCTGGCCAACCCTTAAAGAGATGTGTTTTTTAAAGGAGGTTTGCTATTTCAAAGGAATGAGCCTCTAATGATGAACATTTAGGCAGTGTTATGAGATATGGGTTGGAGGGAGCATTTACAGACATTCCTAAAATTATACCATATAGAAAGCCATCCACAGGTGCTGTTGACATAGATCTTATATGCACCCTGTGCTCTATTCCTTTGTGAACTTTTTCTTTCCTTTAATAAAAATGTACCTAGTCTGTGTCCTAGCTCTTGACCACTGAAGGTGTTGTCAGTTGACTGAATGATGCTCAGATGTTAATAAATGACAACTGCTTAATATTGTGCAAATTCGCGGTATATTTAAAGGATAGAACTTAGAGACTGATCGGACACAGTAAAGGAATGAAAAGAGTAAAATATGATTCTGATCTTTTGTGCTTGGAGCTGATTCTGCCCTAAATTATAAAAGCACACCTTTTATTAATTTATATCCATGTAATTGAGAACAAAGATTGACCTGTAAAAAATTGCCTTTGTATCACCCTAATAAAATCACTCTGTGGAGTTTTACCTATTATTATGAGAAGCCAGTATGGCACTGTAGGTTTCCTGAAGATCCATTTTGAGAGAGGAAGAATGACACTATCAGGAGTCATTAATATCAAATTGTCTTCACATGAATGACACACTTGTAGTGTTAGATGAAATTTACACTATGGCTCTCCACTGGGATTTTTTGCACTGCCAGTTTTCTTTAATCAAAACACAAGATAAAATGAATGAAGTGAGACACATATTTAAACGCTTATAGCAAAACCCAGAATTCCCAAACCAATGAGGTAGTTAATTTATATAGCATATATTGGAAGAGGCGTTTTTTTGTATGCCTATATGTACATGTGAGGGAATGAAACTCCAATAATTTGGCACAGACATGAGGTGCCATATAGTTAAAATATTTATATAATATCAATAGCTAATATTTATTAGGCACCTACTATGTGTCAGTCATTTTCACTTGTAAATTGCTATTTAATCCTCACAACTCTTCTAAGGGATTCCTGTTTTTCAGATGCAGAAACTGAGGTACAGCTAGGTTAAGTAAAATCACAAAGGCAGAGCTAGGATTTGAAGTTATATCTTACTCTAGAAGGTGTATTCTTAACAGTTACACTACATCTATCTCTTTATCTAGGACTCTGAGCTCCCAAAACAGGTTCTTTTCAGCTTTCTTTCATATAAAGTTGTTTCCCTTTATGTATTATTGTGTTTGTCTAGTAGTCTGGTTGACTTTTTCAGTCTGTAATTACATGTTCCAGTTTTACAACTGTAAATACTTATATGGAAACACAAAAATGTGTTTGTTTGTACTTTCGGTTAACTTTTCTGGATATAAATCATCAATCGTATATTTCAAAAATTTTGTCTAGTTTAATTTATTATTGATAAATCACCTGGCGATGATGAAACTTTAGAATCTAATATACTGCGATGTTTGTGTCAAAATGAGCTTTTCCTGTAACTGCATTCTTTTCTATCTATTCATCCCTTAGTGTTTACTCAACATGATATGTGAAAGAACACTGAGAATTCCCTCTGGAATGAGGAATGTACTCTGTAGTTATCCCTCTCGTTATTTTAAAATTTATCTATTTCCCTTTGCAGCTCTGTGTAACCTTCAGCCCTTGGAAGCCCTCTTCGTTATTTTACGGGAATCTGCTCCCACAGTCAAATCCAGTGGATGGTAAAGATGAATGTCTAAATTTCACAAATACATTGACTTGGCATTTTTATGTAGCACAAAAGTTTTAATTCATTTGATCAGTCCTGCTTCACTATCCTTCTTGGGCAATATTTCCTAAAATTTATTATTATAACTAGGAGATCTAAATGACCAGTTTTCATTAAGAACTAGCTAGTCAACTAGAATTGAGTAATATCTTTCATAGTATATTATTATAATATTAGTATCCTACCATTAATAAGTATGTTCAGTTGTTTTCCTGGTAATGGGATGAGCCAGTGGCAACTATTTGTGAAATTTCTTACTGTGCCTAGATAGCCAGTAATTATCATATACAGCCTTGATGGTTTGTCCATTAAACTAAACATCCATATACCTAGAGCAGAGGCCTTGTTCTCTCAGGCTTCTACAGGCCAGCAAAACTTGCAATTCCTTCTCTCTGAAGCTTGTTGATCTAGTACCTTAAACCTTTACTTATTCTTGCCCTGGTAGAAATAGTAACTATGATTTGATTGCTGATATTCAGCATGATTGCATTGTGATTCAAATTACCCTTCTGATAGATCCAGAATTTATGGCCACATCTTTTCATGGGCCTTTTTCTAAGATTACTTAGTCTTTGTGATATTAATACCCTTTTTTCGGATCATTATATTCATGCCTTTGTAGTTAAAACTGCATATAGTCAAATGAAACATTCATAGTGTGACTGCTGTGGGCTTATCAATCTAATCTCACAGACTACTTATGTCACATTAACCATTTAATTGACATATTGTCACTTGAGTTTTTACCACGTACAAACATCTAAACTCATTGAAGTTTCTACTATTATTTGGGAGAAAATGTTGTTGGCGCTTCTTCTTCTTTTTCTTTTTAAGTGGATTTTGTTGTACATGATGTATATTGCCAAACTGCAGGATATTTGACCATTGAAACAATTATACCCTGAGGCAACTCTCTCCAAAAATACAATTTTCAGAGAGGCATATAAGTGGCAGTGGGAAGAGGTGACCTGAGAATACTCCTTTATTTTATTTCTTTGATCCATTTCTCTTAGGTCTCGCAAGTTCCACAATTTCATGGAAAAGTGTATGATAAAAAATTTCTTATTTCGTCCTACTTCTGCAAATATGCTTCATCACCCATTTGTTCGAGATATAAAAAATGAACGACATGTTGTTGAATCATTAACAAAGCATCTTACTGGAATCATTAAAAAAAGGCAGAAAAAAGGTAAAAATCTGTGAAGTTTTATTTTACTAGAATGAATATTCAAGTGAGAGAAGAATGTATTCCTTTATTGCTTTCAGGGAAAAATAATATTTGTTTAAGAATTAGGTTGAAAGTAAAAATTCTGACACCTTCAATAATATTCCATGTGCTCTTATTCAATTCATTAACTCATATTTCAGTACATACGTATGTACTCAATAATATATACATATATATATATATTTATTTTTGCCAGTTATATCTGGCAAGTATTCATATTTATAAAGACCTTGGAAACCTCAAATAGAATTTTGTGATGTACCAATTTTAAGTAAACTAAAGACAATAATCAAAAAAGGTAACAAAATCTATATCTCCCTGTTCTTTTCCAGCTGATATTTTGACTCTAGAAAGATAGTTAGGTTGGTAATTAACCATTTCTTGACTGCTAATTTTGAAGTAATGTCGGTGTACTATATAGAGCTTATTTTATGTATTAAACTCCAACTATAAGATACAATTAAAGGAACTAATTTATACAAACAAAACTTTCTGTCTATTAATAAGAGTAAACTTCTGTCTATTTAAAATGGCAGGATACATTTTCATCAAATCCAGAGGAAGTTACTTGGGAAGTTCTAACTTTATAGGTTATGTACCATATTCCACATTTAATTTTGGAGGTTGTCAGCAAAGTTGAGAATAACAATGGAGTGGAGAAAGGGGAACCTGAAAAAGCAGGCATCCTCATATCAGCAACATGACTGATTGCAGTGGAGCCTATTTCATCCGCATAATTATATATGTTGTTTTAAAGTAAGGAACAGCGGAGGAATGAATTTATTTACCTATGATGATGAAGTCATTGGACCAGTATCACAGAGGCCAGACAGTCTCAAATGGGTGCAGGAAAACCACACATAATTAACTAATTTTCAGAGTTGCAAGATTTCCAAAATGTTACCTGCAGGAAAAGTCCCATTTCTGTGGAAGTTGCACTGAAGATATAAATATAGTTTCCTTATATTTTAATATAGGAACTTCAAAAGAAAACTCTTTTGTTTTTAAAATTCTATATTTTAGTAGTAACAGCACAGCTGATGGAAAAGAAGCTGAATGTTTTCAATGTGTTGAGTGTCAAACCCAGAATTAAGAATTTACCTTCTCACTGAAAAAAAAGGTTATTCCCAAACCATAAAGTTCTTATATCCAGAGCCCACAGCTGTAAGCCATGTTCACTATCTAGAGTTTCTCTTGCCCCTTTCACTCTTTATCCCATTCTCTCCTTTTTCTCTTTATAATTGCAGCAATGAGATTGCTACATTTTATTTCCTATGACTAGTGAAATTAATCAGCAAGCAATAACTGTACTATACTGCAAAAGTGGGCCTGGAAACTAGAATACTGTCTGTGTCACAAACCAAGTTTGTTCGAAGGGCTACCTTCTTCTTGCCCTTGTAGTTCACTTCACATCCTGAGCAGTAGAGGATACGGAGTGGCTAAGATAGATTACATGCTTCTTTGCTGACTGTTTACACATTATGTTTTTCTCTTTCATAAAAAAGGGATACCTCTGATCTTTGAAAGAGAAGAAGCTATTAAGGAACAATACACCATGAGAAGATTCAGGTGCGTTAGACAAATCACATATGTAACTTGATGATAGCAGTTCACACAAAGCAGTTGATTCCTGTTGCCTTTGACTTAGAAGAACTTGATTCTTTCTGATACAACACATAGCAAATCTCTATTTTGAAGAAATGTTGAGTGGAAATGTTGAGGAGAATAACTTATTACTACCAAAGACTCCTTAATATCTGGCAATAGAATGATCATGTAGATGTCAGACCCTATTAATAATTGAATACATTAGTAATACAAATGTTACATGCAGGATATTTCAGACATTACAGGAATGATTCTAGAAAGATTTACTGAAAATACTGTTACACAGAAAATGTCCATATTTTAAAATTAAATCAATTTTCCTGAATGGTTCCATTCCACTGAAAATTCTAATTGCAAGGCAATCATTTGTTTTGGTTATTTCAGAGGACCCTCTTGCACTCATGAGCTTCTGAGATTGCCAACCAGCAGCAGATGCAGACCACTTAGAGTCCTGCATGGAGAACCCTCTCAGCCAAGGTGGTTACCTGATCGAGAAGAGCCACAAGTCCGGGCACTTCAGCAACTACAGGGAGCAGCCAGAGTATTCATGCCACTACAGGCTCTGGACATTACACCTAGGCCTCTTCAGCAGCAAGCTCAGGCACCTCAACGACTACAAGGGGCAGCTCGGGTGTTCATGCCACTACAGGCTCAGGTTAAGGCTAAGGCCTCTAGGCCTCTACAAATGCAGATTAAGGCACCTCCGCGACTACGGAAAGCAGCTCGGGTCCTCATGCCACTACAGGCACAGGGTAGGGCACCTAGACCTCTACAGGTACGCAAGGTACAAGCCCAGGTTCCTAAAAAGCAACAAGCTCAGGTCCAGGTCCAGGCATCAGAACAACCACAGGATCTAGACCAGGTGCCAGAGGAATTTCAGGGACAAGACCAAGTACCTGAACATCAACAAAGGCAGGGGCAGGTCCCTGAACAACAGCAGAGGCAAAATCAGGTACCCGAACAGCAGCTGGAGCAAAACCGGGCACCAGAAAATCCAGAGGTACAGGAACAGGCTGCTGAACCTCCACAGGCAGAGACTGAGGCAGAGGAACCTGAGTCATTACGAGTACATGCCCAGGTGTTTCTGCCCTTACTGTCACAGAACCACCATGTGCTGTTGCCACTACATTTGGATAGTCAGGTGCTCATTCCAGTAGAGGGGCAAACTGAAGGATTGCCTCAAGGACAGGCCTGGGCACTAGAGCCCCCACAGGTAGTTGGTTCAGTTCAAGCACTGATAGAGGGACTATCAAGAGACTTGCTTCGAGCACCAAACTCACATAACTCAAAGCCACTTGGTCCTCTGCAAACCCTGATGGAAAACCTGTCATCAAATATGTTTTATTCTCAACCAGAACAGGCAAGGAAGAAAAAATCAAAAGTTTTTAGCCTAAGGCAGGCACTGGCAAAAAGACTGTCACCAAAGAGGTTTAGGACAAAGTCATCAAGGAGACCCGAAGAGCTTGATCTCTCAGATTTAGAAGCCTGCAGGCAAAGGCGCCAACGCAGATGGGAAGATATCTTTAATCAGCATGAGGAGGAATTGAGACAAGTTGAAAATGTAAGAGTTTTTATATTTTTACTCTAAGTCAAAAATGCAGAGAAAATGTACTTGTTTGTGCCAATATTTTTCCTTTGTAATGCCAAATGAAATAAATGTTCTTTGTTTCATAGATTTACTAAATAATTTGTGCTTCAAAAATATTATCTTAAATTTTCCAGATAATTTGTGATTAAATATGAGAAAAAAACTTTTGCTTGAATGATGCAGGTAATTACTTAATATACCTCTATTGAAACAGCTTTAATTATTGATTTTCTACCTATTATTCTGTTAGCGGTAAAGGGACAACATATACCCATTTAAAGTGACTAATAAGAATCTTAAAAATTTCTTTCTTAATTTAAAATTTCAAGGATAACACATTCAAATTAAACACAAAAAACAAATTTGGTTTTGTTCCTCTAGCCTCTAAGTTAATTTATTTGCTCTTTCTTCCCAAAGAATGCTGAACTGTACTATTTAAGTGAATTGCATTCATTTGTACTTCAGGATGTTGAAATCAAGGTTAAAATGGGAAGGAAACGCAGTTTTCAAAAACATTTTGTATATAGTTACCATATGTATTGTCTTACTAATTTGATGCCCATTTAACATAATTAATCAATGATGTGGCCACACAGAACATGAAACAAGTTACAAAATGGTCTCTGCACCCTCTTGAAATGTAGGATACAATCTGTTAAACTCTTATTTATGAACAATCAATAAAACTTAATTTTTTCAAAATCTTTTAGTATAAAGGGGATATAGTTTAACTGGGGTTATTCAATTTAATCTGGTGAATCCAATGTGATGATGAAGGGTTTGTGGGTTTGATAAGCAAATTTATAAAGTAAGACAAAATTAGGAGAGTAGTTGTTTTCTAATACTTCCCAGCACTTATTTACATAAAAGGAATAATTATGATGGTCCCAATTAAACCCCATTATCCACATCTATTTAACTAATAATAATTAATGTAGTAATTATAAATGAATCTTGTCTATCTAGATAAGGAATTCTTTAGGTTTGTGCACATTAAGCCAATTGAACAAATGCCAATTCACTGACATGTTTAACATGAGGAAAGGTAAAAACAGGAAGAGAAGCAAGCCCTAAAAGGGAAAATGGATATCTAGCTCTCAGAAAAAGAGGAAGATATAAAGAGAAAGAAAGAAAAGAATATATAAATCTAGAATCGTGATATTTGGCAAAAATTAGGGCATTTAAAATGGTAATGTATCTATTATCAATGAGTTCTACTAATCAATTAGATCTAATGGGTTTTGTATTTGTGAAAAAAAGACTTAATTATCTTTGAAAGACTCATAGTATCACCAGCATGACACATACTTATTGTCCCTTATTGTTTTAAATATATATGTGGGAAGCCATTCTAAAATTTTAAAAAGTCAAATGATAGTTACACATCTCATTATTCTAAGCTCTACAGGTGTTCATATCTTTATGTGGGTCCTTAAAGAAAACATACAGGAAAATAAATCTATTGATAATAATTATTCTCACAGGTCTTTGGAAATACCTGAAGTTTTATTAGAGTTCAGAGACATAAGTGAGCGCTTCAACTCACAAACAGGAAGAAAAAATGTTTATTACTGTCTTAGTTTAAGACATAATATTTATTAGCTTAAAAGGGAAAATAGTTCCCTAAACTCATAAAACTCAATTAAGGAGAAGTATTTGCACCATAGTATAACAAGTTTTCCATTCATTACAAGGATCAAACTTTGAAGTTATAATTGCTTACTGAATATGAAAGTTAGTTTGGCATTATGCATTAATCAAGCTTTAGACCAGATTCTTTTTTTTTTTTTTTTTTTTGAGTCGGAGTCTCACTCTGTCACCCAGACTGGAGTGCAGTGGCCACTCCCGGTGACCGCAGCCTCGACCTGCTGGGCCCTGGCGATCCTTCCGCCTCAGCCTTCCAAGTAGCTGGAACTACAGGCGCGCGCTGTAGACCAGAGATTCTTAACCTGGATCTCGTAGATGAACTTTAGGAAGTCAGAGATCCATATGAAAATATATGCAGACATATATGTCTATACCATTTTTAAAACGCACAATCTGTAGCATTTCTCAGATTTTGAAAGGGATCCAGAACTAAAAACTATTAGAAACTGCTGGTTGAAATCATTTTCACTATTTGAATATTATTCTTTTAAATTATATATTAGGGTGATATAGTTGTTCCTATCACTTGCATTTTAACGATTAAAATATTTATTTACCTTTTTGTTTCAAAGGACAAAGAAAATGAATCATCAGACAATGATGAAGTATTTCATTCAATTCAGGCTGAAGTCCAAATTGAACCATGGCAGCCATACGTTCCAAGTCCTAAAAGAAATGAGGTAAATTTCTCATTATGAGTTACTGTGACATTAGTAAGAGCCTAGAACAGTGGTTCTTATACTTTTTGGTCTCAAGATTCCATTATATTCTTAAACATTGAATGCCCTCCAAAACTATTGTTTATTACATGGATTTTGTGACATTTAATATGCAACTTGCTACAAGTTAACCCCCAAAATAAAATATTAATTTATTTTAAAAGTAATAAAACAGTTACATGCTAACATAAGAAACACATTTTTAATGAAAAATATGTTTTCTAAAACAAAAATTGAGAATTATATTGTTTTACATTTTTGTAGATAGATCTCTTTAATCTATCTTGCCTAGTGGAAAACAGCTGAATTTTCTTATCACCTTTCTACATTCAATCTCTTGCCATATGTTGTTTTGGTTACAATGTATAAGTAGAAACTGGCTTCTCAAATATAGGCAGTTGTAAAGGGAGAATTTTTATAAACCTTTTAGATAATTGTATGAATAAATTATTTGGTAATATACCAAAACTAGAGAAGTGGAATCTCAAACCATAACAATAAGATTTTGTACACCTATTGTTAAAAATCCATTAGTCTATCTTGTGCTATGAATAGATGTTTTGCTTATGTATGATTTTTAACTTCAGTTGGAAAATATTGCTTCACTGTGTATGTAGATCTTCCCACTGTGTTTATATGTTTCATTATACAGTATTAAAAAACAGCATTTGTTAATATCATCACCAATTAATTAATGGTAAACTGTCAAGTGCACGGTGGTGTTTAAAAATTCTAATTTTCCCTTTAAAGCTCAAATTTTATCATTGCTAATAAATAGCATCAGTTGTTTCCCCCTTGGGTTGATAGGGTTACTTCATTCATTTAAAATAGAATGTTTACCAGATATCCATAGTTTGAATAATCATACTTTGTCAGTCTTTCTTTAAGCAAAAATATTACCCATGAAAAAATGTCAGTAGTTCAGTTTTAATACAACCACACATGTCTTTTTCCTTGATAGTCTCTGGTCTGGGATACAGTTTGTGACAGGTCATTTAATCTGTAATTTAATTTCTTAAAATTGTGAGAATAATTAAGTCAGTCACAGCATCCAAACTGACTTCCATTTTATTTTTTTCTTTTTAATTTTTATTATAAAGATGTGGGTTACAATTCAGGATTAGTTATACAAACATTGATCATGCAGGTACCCCTGTTGATGAGGTATGCCCCTCCCTTCCCTAGCAGTTTCCCTCAACTGCCAATCCCACCCCCTCAACAGTTCTGACTTCCATTTTCATGACTACATTATTAGTATCCTATTTAGCACAGTTCTTGTGTAGGTTCAGTTCTTGTGTAGACAAGGTAGCATCATCATAGCCAATATTTCTAACAGACAGCCATCTAAAAAATATTTTTTTCACTAAGGTAGAGTGAGTGTGTGAACCCAAACTCGTGCTTTATTGATGGTGGATTAGGAGTCTCATTATTGTTTATTTTTATTTTTTTTATTTTAAAGATGTGGGGTACAATTCAGGGCTAGGTATACAACTGTTCATTATGTAAGTATATTTGTTGATGAAGTATGTCCCTCCATCCCCCTGACAGATTCCCACTTCTGCCAATCCCGCATCCCCCACTCCCCTGGCAGTTTCCCGCTACTGCCAATCTTTTTCTTATAGTATTACAATAATTGCTCAAGGTCAACTTATAAGTGAGAACATGTGATTCTCAGTTCTCTGTTTCTATGATAGCTTTCTCAGTATTACAGACTCTAAGTCCATCCAGGTTACTGTAAAGTTTATGATTTTGTTCTTCTTTATGGCTGTGTAATATTCCATCATGTATATGTAACACATTTTTTTTATACAGTCCTCTTTCAATGGGCAGCACAGTTGGTTCCATGTTTTTGCTATTGTGAACAATGCCGCAATAAACATACATGTGCAGGTATCTTTTTCATAGAGTGATTTGAGTTCCTCTGGGTATATTCCCATAGAAGGATTGCGGGGTCATATGGAAGGTCGATTTTGAGATCTTTTAGGAATCGCCACACTGTTTCCACAGAGGTTGGTTTCCACTCCCACCAACAGTATAGAAGTCTTCCCCTTTTGCTGCATCCTCTCTGGCATCTGTTGTTTTTTGAGTTATTAATGATGGCCATCCTGACTGGAGTTAGGTGGTATCTCAGTGTAATTTTAATTTGCAGTTTTTGATGACTAGTGAGGTTAAGCAATTTTTCAAGTATCTGTTGGCTGCTCGTATGTCTTCTTTTGAGAAGCGTCTATTCATATCTTTTGCCCAATTTGTAATGGGGCTGTTTTTTTGGTTTTTTTTTTTCTTTTTGGCATGTTTGAGTTCCTCGTAGATCCTAGATGTTAGGCTTTTGTCAGACATAGAGTTGGCAAATATTTTTTCCAGTCTGTGGGCTGTCTTCCTGCTCTCTTGATAGTTTCTTTGGCTTTGCAGAAGCTTGTCAGTTTGATGAGGTCCCACTTGTCTCTTATGGCATGGGCATGTGGGGTTTTGATCAGGGATTGGTTGCGAGTTCCAATTTCCATAAGGTTGTCTCCTGCATTTTCTAAGGTTCTTATAGTTTAAAGTTTTGCATTTAGGTCTTTGATCCATTTAGAGTTGATTTTTGTGTATGGTGATAGGTAGGGTTCCTGTTTCAATCTTCTGCATGTGGTTAGCCAGTTTTCCCAGCACCATTTACTGAATAGGTTCTCTCCTCCCCAGGTGGTTGGTGGAGTCTTTGTCGAAGATGAGTTGATTGAGAAATTGAGGTTTTGATTCTGGAATCTCTATCCTGTTCCATTGGTCAGTACCAGGCTGTTTTGAATAGTGTAGCTTTATAATAAAGTTTAAAGTCTGGGAGTGTGATACTGCCTGACTTTTTTTTTTTTTTTTTTTTCCTGAGGATTGTTTTAGCGATTCATGGTCGTTTATGCTTCCATATTGATTCCCATATTGTCATTTCCAGGTCTGAGAAGAATGCTGCTGGTAATTTAATGGGTATTACGTTAAATCTGTAGATTGCCTTGGGTTGGATGGACATCTTAACAATGTTGATTCTTACAATTCATGAGCATGGAATATTTTTACATTTGTTTGTGTCTTCTTTGATTTCTTTGAGCAGTTTTTTGTAGTTTTTGTTGTAAAGGTATTTCATGTCTCTGATTAGGAAGACACCAAGGTATTTCATTTTTTATGTGGCTGTTGTGAATGGGATTGTGCTTTTTATTTGTGTTTCTGTTTGTTTATTGTTGGTGTATAGAAATATGACTGTCTTTTGCACAGTTATTTTATATCCTGAGACTTTGCCAAAGTCTATTATCAGTGCAAGGATGTTTTTGACAGATTCTCTTGAGGTACTGGATTTTTTCAAGGTATAGCATCATATCATCTGTAAAGAGGGATAGCTTGACTTCCTCTTTTCCTATTTGGATACCCCAAATCTCCTTTTCTTGACTTATTACTCAGGCTAGCACTTCCAAAACTATGTTGAAAAGGAGGGGTGAGAATGGGCGGCCTTGTCTTGTTCTGGTTTTCAGGAGAAATGATTTCAATTTCTCTCTGTTTAGCAGTATGCTGGCTGTGGGTTTCTCATAGATGACTCTTACTATTTTGAGGTATGTTTCATCAATGCCTAATTGTTTGAGGGTTTTCGTCAAGAAGGGGTGCTGGATTTTATGAAAAGCTTTTTCCACATCTAATAATATAATCATGTGGTTTTTGTTTTTGCATCTATTGATGTATTTAACTCCGTTTAGGGTCTTATGAATGTTGAACCAACCCTGCATCCCAGGGAGAAAGCCTACTTGGTCATGGTGGATGATTTTTGTGATGTTTTGTTGGATCTTGTTTGCTAGGATTTTGTTGAGAATTTTAGTGTCTATGTTCATCAAGGATATTGGCCTATAGTTCTCTTTTCCTGGTTTGGGTAACAATGTGATGTAAGCTTCATAAAATGGTTTGGGGCGAGTTTCATCTTTCTCAGTTGCCTGAAATACTTTCAGTAGGATTGGTATCAGTTCCTCCTTGTATATTTTGTAGAATTCTGCTGTAAAACCATCTGGTCTAGGACATTTTTCTGTAGGTAATTTCATTATGATGTAGTCAATTTCCTGGATTGTTATTGGTCTATTTAGGGTCTAAATTTCTTCTAGTTTCAACCTGTGGAGGTTGTGTGATGTAAGAAAGTCCTCCATTTCATTTAGATTTTTGAATTTGTTTCCATACAAGTGTACATAGTAGTCTCTGATAATCTTTTGTATTTCTTCGGTGTCAGTTGTGGCCTGATCTTTTGCATTTCTGATTGTGTTTATTTGGGCTTTTTCTCTCTTTTTCTTTGTCAGTCTAGCTAGGGGTCCATCAATCTTGTTTATTCTTTCAAAGAACCAGCTTTTTGTTTCTTTTTTTTTTTTGTATTATCCGTTTGTCTTCTATGTCAAAAATTTGGGCTTTTATTTTGGTGATCTGGATTCTTCTGCCAAAATCAGGATTTTGGTGGTCTTGTTTTTCCAGCTTTCTGAGGTGATTTGTTAGACTGTTAACTTGTGATTGCTCCATTTTCTTCATGTGTGTTCATAGGGATATGAATTCCCCTCTAAGTACTGTTTTCATAGCATCCCAGAATTTTGGTAAGCTGTTTCTTCATTTTCATTTGTTTCTAGGTATCTTTTAATCTCTGTTTTGATTTCCATGTTTCATTATTGTTTCCATTTGGCACAAGATGTTTCACACGAATCTACTAAGAAATCTTTTATGGACAATTCTCCTTTTAAAATACAGCACCCTTGATACTAACTACTCTTTTTTTTTTTTTTTTTTTGAGTTAGAGTCTCACTGTCACCCAGACTGGAGTGCAGTGCCCGCTACCGGCCACCGCAGCCTTGACCTGCTGGGCTCTGGCGATCCTTCCGCCTCAGCCATCCAAGTAGCTGGAACTAGAGGCGCACGCTACCATGCCCGGCTAATTTTTTTTTTTTTTTATTGTAGAGATGAGGTCTCACCTGCCA